CCGTGGCTCCTGGTCCCCGCCGGCGCCCTGTCACACCTGCTGCCAAGCGCCACCGCTGCCCCTTCCCGGGCTGCACCAAAGCCTACTACAAGTCATCGCACCTCAAGTCCCACCAGCGCACCCACACAGGTGAGCGCCCTTTCTGCTGCGACTGGCTCGACTGCGACAAGAAGTTCACGCGCTCCGACGAGCTGGCCCGCCACTACAGGACGCACACGGGCGAGAAGCGCTTCTCCTGCCCGCTCTGCCCCAAGCAGTTCTCCCGGAGCGACCACCTGACCAAACACGCCCGCCGCCACCCAGCCTATCATCCCGACATGATCGAGTACCGGGGGCGCCGTCGTACCCCCCGCGTCGTTGACTCGCAACCCGCGAGCCTCGAGGACAGCTCCAGCCCCGGCCCCGCCCAGGTGGCCGGCTTCCCTACCTGCTTGTAGGACTGTCATTGCTGCTAGTCGTCCCTTCAAGGATGGATCCCTCGCAGTTGCCCTTGCTTTCTCGCTGCGCGTCCCTCTTTCCCATCGTCAGTGGACCAAGGCACAGACTGGTTCTTCCGCTCTGAGGCTGGGTCATGGCAGGCACGTTGGACTCTGGGGAGGGACTGGGGGCGAGAAAACAGCGGGAATTCTTGCACACATATCTCATCCTAAGAGGAGGGGGTTGCCTCAAGACATCCCCCAGGAACTGGTGCGAAGGGATGAACCCGGTGCTCTCCAGAATCTTGAAGATGTGAAACTGGAATTCTCAGGTGCCTGGGGATCTCCCAGTCTCAAAGGACTCTGGTGGTTCACCCACCCACCAGGGCGGACCTTGGAGAGGGTGTTAAGGGTGGCAGTCTTGGAGATGTCCAGGACTGGGATGGTGAGAGGCCTTTGGAAACAGAAATGATTTCTATTTCTGTAAACAGCAATGTTTACTAATTTCTTTTTAGTCACTTTTAAACAGTGATCTCAGGTTGATGGGAGGCTGATATTCTCCACTCCCTATTCACCCCAGCTTCCTCTGCTAGGAGAGGCCTTGTAAGCGTCCCTGTGGATGTATGGCTGGGAGATGCTTCTTGGTGTCTGGGAGCTGTGTGAGTCTGTTTGCAGGTCTTGTTGAGTGGGATGGACCCCTGTACTTGCGTCATAGCCCTTCTCCCTACTTGAGGGGTGGTAACCTTCTGCTCACTCACACAGAGACCAATTGTTTCACCAATTTGGAAACAACCATAAAAGTACCCGAAAGAAAAGGATGGTCCAGACTAGTCCCCCCTTCACCCAGACGGCAAACCCAAGTGACTTTGGAGTGGGATGACTTTGAGGTGGGACAGGTCCAAGACAATATTCAGGGGAACAGTGGTCCAAGCTGCAGCTGCCCCGCCCCAAGAAATCTTCAAGGGTTGTAGATTCCATTAATTTCTTAGTGACTAACTGTGATTTATTTCTCTTTGGGTCTGTGCATTTTTGTTTCTGAGATAGCGGAGTTGATGGATGGGGAAAGTGAATGTGAGAGACTGGCTTCTTCCAAAAAGCAGGCTGCTCTGGATTTGGGGAAAGTGCAGCAAGGTAATAGCTGTTATCAAATAGGAAGACCCCTCCTCTGATCCTGAAGTGGCTCCAAGTTACAGCCTCAGGAGCCCCTCCCTCCGTGCAGGAATTGATTTTTTTTCTATATATGTCTCTGCTGCTATGGATGAAATCGTCGACCACTCTGTTTTTGTATGTGTGAGTGTGAATACCTGTGGACCTTTTATTAGGGATGAGGTTAAAAGACATTTCCTGCTCTGGTAAGACTCCCGTTGGCCCCTTCCTGAATAACCTTGATAGTCCATCAATCACACTTGTGAAGAACGCCTGATCTCATAGGACCATACCAGGCGTCTGGTTAAACAAACTGCCTTTCCCCGTTTTTTCAGATGAAGACATTGAAGCCTAGATAAATTCAAAGTCATGTACTGAGTTACTGGAAAAAGCCATGACTAGAACTCAGGTGTCTGGCCTCCAAAGTGACTCTCTTTCCTTCACACTTGGTTACTCCACCCCCTTTCTCTGGGCACTTAGTCAAAGGATACTGCTCAACCTTCCTGCCACCTGGACCCCTTTCCCCTTCCTTCCATATTTTCTATCACTTTTATGTACCTTCAAATCTCTGGTCCCCACTGAGCCCTTAGCCTGCTGTGTGTAACCCAAAAGCCCTTTTTCTTAACAAGTTGAGTCCATTCCCTCCCTCCACACCATGTGGACATAAAGTGGGAAAGACTCTTTGGCATCCTGGGAGCAACTTTATCTTTTGACCTGATAGATTAATTTTTTCTGCCAGTTCTATTCTTTGCTTGGCCTTGGACATTCCAGCATCCTTGAGAGAGTGAGTGATGTGAATCTGGCATTGGGACTCTACTAAGTGCTCCCACACTAAGTGAGGCAGGGTCTTTGGAAAAGACCCAAAGGGTATGACCTGTGACCCTGAAGTTTTTCTTGATGTGGTGTAAGCAGGGCAGGTGAGCCTCTCCTTGAGTTATAGATGGGAAAATGAGAGCCCAAATTGTGGAGATGATTTTTTGTGGTGGGAAGAGTTCTCCCTTTGCTTCATTTGTCTCCTCACTATGGGCCCCTTTGTCTCAGAGATTCAGTAGAAGATCCGGCATTGGGTCAGTGGACCAACAAAGCCAACAGGAGAGGGACTTCCACTAGCCATTCTGGAATCGGTCTCAAGAAAGCTTGGCTCTTCCAACCACCCGTTGATAAATCACTGTTGATCCTCAAGTTCCTAAATAGTGTCTTTACTTGGGTTCTTCTATCCTGGAGACCTTTGTCTGATTAAATGTGGTATGTCTTTCACTGACAGAGAATTGACTCCTCCCAGGTCTTGGGGTGGTGGGGTGGAGACACCCAAGACAACAGAGTAGCCTAATAATGGAGGCAAGGTTTCTAGACGGGTCTTTCTTTGTCTGGGTATTGTTACCATTTTCACTCCAGCATCCAAATAGCTCTTGAGGAGCAATTATTAGTGAAACGCCTTGGAAGGGGCTTCCTAGTTTTATTGGTGTTTCTTTTGCTTCTTTATGTTAACCAGTGGAACTCAGAGAGCGAATCTGGGGGCTGGGGTCAGGCTGAACCTCTGGGCCGTTGCCCCAGCCCTGCCATCCTGAGTTCTGATAATGACCTAGTACCAGAGTCTTATTAGTAGAACTCTTCCTGAAATCTGGATTGGAAGCTGGGAATGAATTCTAGGTCAGACCTTGGATCTGGGGGAGTTGGATCCCCTGCCCTTGATGGGAACAGGGGAAGAGTACAGGCCTTCTTTGCCCCTACTCGTGGAGGAAGAATTGTCATCTGTCTCTATTTCCCTGTTCTGCTCCAAGCAAAGAACTATACTGGAGTATCACTCTTGGCTCCTGTCTCTATCTCTTACTTCTCCCCAAAGGGAGAAGATTGTCTTCTCTAATGGAGACGTAGAGAGGTCATTGTCCATACAGACTCTAGGGTCTCTTCTTCCTCTCTTTGCCCATCCCCACCTGCAATATGTATGCACTCAACTCGGCTCCCACTTTCATATGGTAAGCACACCTGTGCAGGCCCAGGCCTGCCTTTGGGATGCAGATCTGAAGAGCACCTCCGTGTCCCCACTTTTGGGGCAGCCATGTCCTGGCAGCTGTCCAGGTAGGTGTCTCCTTTGCATATTCTCCAGGAATTGGGGGATAGGGTGAGGGATGATGGGGGAGGGGAGGAAGCAATGGAGGGACAGTATTAGAAAGTCCAATTCTGACCATAGATAGAGCTTCATCAGGAAAAAACTGAGGTTTTGATCCTTATTTGTCAGACTCCTGTATCTATTTCTCAGTTGGTTGAGAACTTGGAGAGGAAATGTGTATGATTAATTTTCTCCCTTACCACCCAACACAACCAAGTATGCATTGGCTGTTAAATCTTGAGAAATATGTCCCCCAACTGGCATTAGGGGGCAAAATAATATGTGTGGAGATTAGGACTTCTGGTGTGCCAGGGCCTAGAGCTATAGTGTTTTAGTGATCTGGGGCCTTTTAGTTCTTTGGCCTTTTCAAGTCATAGCAGCTAATGGTAGCTAGTGTCCGCAGGCAAGCCACTGGGTTTTAGAGGCACCAGGCATAGGCCTTAGCCACAGTGGGGTACACAGGCCACTGCTGCTGATCTTGATTCACATGGATGTAGCCAAAACAGGCTTGCTGCAGAAGGGAAGGCACTATTGAATGGAACAATTTGTGCTGCCTTTATTCTCAGCCAGTATTGCAGGAGAAGACTTTAAGCTGCAATGGCATAATTTTCATGTATATTTCAGAGTACATACAGGAAATTCTATCCTTTAAATTGTGCTGGTGATTAGTGGGTAGCATTAGCTTGGTTTCAACCAACTGGGCTTCCCTTTATCTTGATTTGAATTGCACCCATTTATAGGGCCAGGGAGAGACCTATGGGAGTGGCCAAGTTCTTTAATTCACATGGGGCATCCAGAGTCACCTTCTACTCATATCTCAAGTTAGTGCCAGATGTGCTGAATATATAAGCCCTGACAGTGGAATTTCAGGGACCCAGATTGTGTGTTCCACCACAAAGGACTGGTGGGTTTTATAATAAATACATAAAGAGGAATGGAAGTGTGTATTATACAGGCGATTGAGGTAGAGAGAAGCAACGCAATAATGATCCCAGAGGCTAGGAAGGATATTTAAAAGTGTTATGCCTGGACTCTTCTCTCCCTAGGAATCAGATCTATTCAAGAAATCAAGTAGGAACCATATTTGTTTCAAAATATATTTAGATCTTCAAATCAAAACAGAAGCAGGGGGAGGGTGAAAAAGGAATAAAGGAAAACAGGATGATTAATCTAGAAGAAAACAAGGGGTTCTTGAGTAGAAAAGTTGTGTTTTTAGGGGACAGAATCGGTGGTATAAAAAGGGAAAAGACTAGGAGACAACTAATCTTAAAGATGGGATTATAAAAGAGGGTAATATTTAGTCATCATTAAATTAGAGAAGGTGATTGGGACCCAAAGAGACCTACCAGAAGAATGGAAGCAAGTTGTCAGAAAACAGGAGTGCCACCTCCACAAGGGATCTCAGATCCAAGAAATATCGACAGGTACCTACCTGAATCTGTGGAGAAACAACATGATAAGAGCATTGGGAGATCATCCTTTCAGCAGTGGGATAGGTATACTAGATGGCTACAGAAAAAAGTAGACGGTACTTCCAACATTTTTAGCTGAGTTGCAGTGATATTACTGTTGTGAGACTACAAATATGGCTTGGGAAATGTTCAGAGTTAAGTCTCTAAGGAAAAGAATAAGGAAAATGAGACACATAAAATATATCAAAGTAATTAATCAATTAATATGAATTAGGAAGATAAAAGCATGATCATCTCAATGTTGTTAGGTGACGTCATGTCGGTTCCATCTTATAGCAACCCTACATACAACAGAACAAAACACTGCCTGGTCCCGCACCATCCTCACAATCATTGCTTTGTTTGAGCCCATTGTTGAAGCCACTATGTCAATCCATCTCGTCGAGGATCTTCCCTCTTTTTCCCTGACCCTCTACCAATCATGATATCCTTCTCAAGGGACTGATCCCTCCTGATATCATGTCCAAAGTATGTGAGATGTAGTCTCGTCATCCTTGCTTCTAAGGAGCATTCTGGGTGTACTTCTTCCAAGACAGATTTGTTCGTTCTTTTAGCAGTCCATGGTCTAGTCAATATTCTTCACCAACCCCACAATTCAGAGGCATCAATTCTTCTAATAAGCATTTGTTAAAACTTAGCACTAACTTGTGATTTAATTTAAACACACCTTAGCAAACTAGTAACAAAAGATAATTTCTTAAAATGAGAAAGGGTGTCCACCAAAAACCTGCAGTGAAAATCAAACTTAATTTTGAAAGATTGCAAGTGTT